AATCTATGACAGGACAGAGTAAATACAGGCAACTCAGTGTGAAAGACCCACATTGAGAATCTGACAGCACTAGCACTGGCTGCTACTGTACATGCTAATGGGATAATCACTTATGCTGAGAAAGAAAATGACTAAGAGACCACTGTTCTTTAGTCGGAAAATGGCATTGATATGAATCTTTCTACTCAAGGGTGATTTGCATTTCATTTTGGACCAAAATTATGTGTTGAAATGTACAAAATTGTACATGTGTGTACTTTCTAGGCTGCAAACAGTAGCACTACAGTGTCAAACTACTCATTTCTAATATGTTGTTGCATATTATACTCTGGTTGCAGTTTCGCTTGTCGCCAGAGGGGGCGTAGTTCTGCAAAAACTTAGAAACTTGCGCAATGCACCTTTAATGGGGTTTAATTGCAATACAGGTCTGTTTATATGGACATGACTTGCAATTTCCAGGGTCAGTGAAGAGTGATGCGAGAGATTTTCTAGAAATGAAACATAAACTTCACAGCATTCTTCGGGCAGGTTGGTGGCTTTACACTTATTAATAATTTTGGTATTTTAAAAATTGAAACGGTATTGGTTTCTCTGCGTTCTCAGGATGTCTGATGTGTCTGGTTGATTGAACCTCAGTCATGCACAAGAAGCTTTTATCGTCGTCAAACCCAGATCATCACGATCGCTTGCTTTCCAGCCGTCCAGACCTGTCTTTTCATGTCACTCCTGACTCTGAGGACGACACGTCAATGAGTTACACCGTTTCTACATGATGTCCAGGGATTTTCCATATTTCTCTATCCTTTTGTTCAGACTTTGTAAAGGCAAAGCTGCACTCTGAAGAGATTTTTTTTCTCTCCTCCTTTTCACAGTTTCTCTTAGAAAGGGAATGTAAATTCAGTGTCGGTCACAGAAGCTGCTTTTGCATTAGGTGGCATTGTTAGGGAAGCTACTTTGAAACTGTTTACCAAGCTACTTGTAATTTAAAGTATAGTTCAACTGCAGTCAAGCTACTCTTACACGTAGTTACTTTAGGTCAATAAGGGAACAATCATTTTTAAATATCTATTTACACTCTAAAAAAATGCTGGGTTGTTTTAACCCAATTTTGGGTAAAATATAGACAAACCCAGGGTAAAAATTGGGTAAAAAAACGTAATTTAAAAATGTAACCCAATGGCTGGGTTACAAACAACCCAGCATTTTTTAGAGTGTAATGTTTAATCTTCAATATATCTGGTGCAAAATCAGGGTGACCACATTTTACTGATCTTGACCACTTGACAACTGATCTTTTAATTTTACATTGAATATAATACTTATAATACAGTATATATATAGAGTATATATATATTTATACATATGTTCAATGCAAAAATGCTCAATGCTCAATGCAAAAAGTAATGTTATTTCAGTATTATTTGTAAACATTCATAGGTTTATTAATATTTTGGATTAGCTTTTTATTTGTATATTTTAAATTTTCATTTCAGTTTTTAGTGATTTTGATATGTTTTTTTAATAGCCTATGTCTTGAAATATTTCAATGTATAGTTTTAACTTATTTAAATTGGCAAGTTTAGTTGGCTACTTCAACTATAAAGTTCAACGCTCTAATTTTAAGATTTTTACCTTCATTTTTAATTTTTTTTTTAGCTTTATTTCAAATTTAAAAAAAACACTGGAAAGAAGTACAGTTTAAAGGGACAGTTCACTTTGAAATTAATTTTTGATGTTAATTTTTTAATTTTCACTTTGAAATTAATTTTAAAAAGATCACTTGGACGTGGCTGTGGTACTAGAGGTAAAAACGATATAAATACTGTTCGTTTTCTCACACAAACCGCTCGTTTCGTGTCTTAGGCCATCAATGTGTACTTACATTTACGAGTCATTAAATCATGTTTAATCTGGACTTCTCTGTGCATGCTCTTTGAGGTGGTGACCATAGACCTCCATTATATGACTGACAGACGAACGGTTTGACCTAAAAATATCAAAATTGAAACTACTGCGGAAACAAAGACACCTACATCTTGGATGCTCTTGAGGTAAGCTAAAACATCCCAAAAAATAATTTCAAAGTGAACTATCCCTTTAATAAATGAAACGTGACTTTTTAAAAAAAAAAATGGATGGATTTTATATTTTACTGAAAGTAAAACTAGTTAGCTAGTTGCTGTTTTAGAGAATCATTCCCCGACACTGTTACAAACATTCTGCTGGAGTAAATCCAACGTACAAACAGAATTAGACAAGTCATTGCTTAAACATTTGTTTGGCCTTTTGCAATGATCTGTTCATTGACCGCATGATAAACTGGAGCTGTTAGTTTTCCTCTGGTCAGGTTTGAAAGATTACTCACTCTGAGAACATCCTGCAAACAAAAATGTATACATGTAATATTCAGAAGCTATTTCTATACTCAGCATTTCCCAAGACGAGATATTTAAGGCTACAGAGAGAGGGAGGGATGAAATATGACAAGCAAATTCATGCGAGACAATGATGGATGAACCGCATCCGTAAGTCAAGGTATGTTATGGGTAAAACAGGGCTGTAACTTACTTGTTACGTTCAGAGATGGAGGATGTGAATGAGAGAGAGCGAGAAAGATGCTCTAGCACCACCAATCTGTGGTTACAAGATTTGTATATTCGATTAGAATTAGATTCTTCTGATACAGATGGCTTTTAAGGGAGAACGGGGCAAGTTGTCACAAGTGCTGTATCAGTATAACCATGAGGTTTCAGTAACAAAAACATTTTGAATTACGTTCCTGATTTATTAATACTGCAAAAAAAAAAAAAAATTTACTCGCCTTCATGTTGTTCCAAGCCTGTAGGCTGTTTTTCCCCCCTGCAAAACACAAAAGGAGAGCATTTTGAATGACAGCTCTTCTTCTGGATGTGTTAAATTATAGTGACCACATATTTTAAAATGAAAAATGACTCTCAAGCTGTATTTCAAGTCATGCAATGGCTTCAAGCAGAAATTGACGTTATTTGCTTAAAATTAGCTCATGAATTTTTAATTTTGGGTAAACTGAAAGGATGTGCTGTATCAGAAGCACAAAGCCTTCATTGGCTCCATTGTCGCATTTGTAAAAGCAAGCAATCGACTTCACAGAGGAACATTGTGCCAGCTATAATCTGGAGGGTGTTGTTGTTGTTTTTTCTGGCGGTGACGTACAGACAGCATTTCACCGTTCACTCAGTGCTTGTCTCTGCGGGTTCACTGCTAGGTGAGATATTGATCAAGACCTCCTCAGCTAGGTACTTAACCCGCGACACACGGTAAATGATGCCACTATCTGCTGGTCTTGTTATGCCGTGTGTGTCTGGTGTCTGGGGAAAAAAGAAATGTGCCGTGGCGTCAGTGATATCCTTCCCCCAACCACTGTCTCTTATGTACAGCAGGACAAATAAAGTTATTCATCACTGGTTCTTCAATCTCAGAATTAAAGGTATAAAAAAAGCTGTCATTGGGGTTGTACCTTTTCAAAAGGTAAACTTTTGTCCATTTTAGGTGCTAATATGTACATTTTAGGTGCTATTATTGACATTTTAGGTGCTAATATGTACCATTAAGGTACCAATATGCACCCATAGGTACAAAAGTGTATCTTTTGAAAAGGTACAGCACCAGTGACAGCTTTTGTACCTTTTTTCTGAGAGTGTTTGCAGCAACTAACTGCTTAGCTATTGTTTATGGTGGTACAGGGTTTTTGAAACGCAATGATAAAGTGCAATAGGACAGCAAATATAGTTTTTTTTCCTGCTGTCCACAATTTACAGAACAGAGGTGGAGAACCATCAACTCAATCAGGCAAACAGATGTTTGTTAGTGGATAATGATTAACCATTTTTTTGGTAGTTCATATATGGTAAACATAACTCCAGACACAAGATTCTCTTTTAAGGGATTTTTCACTTTTTGGTATGTTTTAGCTTATCTCAAGGGCATCCGAGATGTAGGTGTCTATGTTTCCGCAGTAGTTTCAATTTGAATATTTTTAGGTCAAACCGTTCTTGTCTGTCAGTCATATAATGGAGGTCTATGGTCACCACCTCAAAGAGCATGCACAGAGAAGTCCAAATTAAACATGATTTAATGACTCGTAAATGTAAGTACACAAAAAACATACCAAAACTTGATTTCAAAGTGAACTGTCCCTTTAATTTTCCATAGATCATGTAGAAAGTAACACCCATCTATCCAGAGTTGGTCATGGCCGCCATGTTGAAATATTTTGCAAATCTAATTTCCTGCAGCGTTCATCAAATCCGCAACAAATTTGGGTCAGATCTTCAGACCATCATTGCCAAAGGCTGTGGAAATCATTAGACCATTCACATTTTACACATCCATATTTCCATGATGTCTTTGCAATGCGTGTATTGACAAACAACTTTGCGTGTTTATGAGCTATGATTAATTCAGAACCGCATACCAGCACTACTTTAAAAATACCCTTCTATTGCGAAAGTAGTATGAGATTACGAATTTATGCGTCATTACAATTCCCAAACAATAATCCAGTATCAATTTAGTGATATCACTGCCTAATGGTCAAAAGTTCAGTAAGCAATTGGATTATGTATGACTTTTCACAATTAAATGTAGCTACGCATGCGCTGTCGCGTTTGACCCCACCACTTAGTGCTATAATCAGTTGCGTGTCATTACCGCTATTCCTCTGTTTTTAACATTTTTGTATCCTATTTTGTTATTGTAACATCAGCTTTATTGATTTTTTCCCTGATTTACAGGAGCACTTATTGTACTAATGTACAAGAAGATGCAATATAAACATCTTGACAGCATCATAAACACAGAAGAACATATGCAATGAAAAATGAATGAGGTCCGTGCACTTTCTGCAAGAAAGGTAAATGAAAGATTTCTGCCATAACGCATGCTCAGAGTGTGTAAGCGAAGTGTGCAAACATCAGTGTGTGTGTGAACTCTCTCAGTGAGTCCTGCTCTTATTCAGTCAGTTCTGCTGATCACCGCACGAGGCTGCGCGCTGCTGTCAGACGCGCGCGCTGGAGACAGAAGAGACTCTCATCACGCGCGCCGGCGGAGAGGAGCGCGAGCATCGCATCGCATCGGGCGCTCACACCGCGCCGCATTGAGGATCGTACCGTTATAGAGGAGCAGCTCGAAATACCCGGAACACAGTGCGTAAAATCCACAGCCGAGGCTTCTTTGTGACTGCGCTTCAGGTAGGCTAAAGCTCCTCTCCATAAACTTATGCTTTTACAGAGACTTATAGCCACTGCATGTGTCAACTCTCGGATTCTTATGCAGAACATCTACTGAGATGTATAATAATGCGGCTGGAGATGCATCTGTAAGGCAGATTTATAGAAGGGTTACGCGCAACTTGTTGCCGGTAGTTTGTGTCTGAATCAATACGCCGTTGTATCTTCAATGCGTCTTTGTTTTCCGGTATTATCGATAGGCTGTGTGTATTTGCCTGAATGAAAAGTTGGAAAGAGTTGCGTATATATTGTTTAGACGCCATCTGAGATGGTCATCTATTGTTTATTTTCAAAATCTGCTTGTTATGATGATTGTTAATGGCAGTGATTCATTGGATTAGTTTGGCAGTACGCTCAAAATATTGATGAACATGTTGTCTATTTGTCAGAGGCTACTGCAAATGCAATATAGGGTGAATACAGGTTGGAGACTTTATTTGTAACAATTATCACACGTTATGAACATTCTAGTTTATCATTTTTTAGTAAAAGAAGAATATTGACCTAATGATGCAGGCGCTTACCGTTTTTACATTCACTCTTTGTATCTGATATGTTTCTTTTGCATTGATCAATGCATATTTTAAAGGTGACCACCACTGTGACTAATGTAATATCAGGAGGATATTGATAATTGTGCAGTGTGTTGTCGAAATATCAACTTCTCTCCCCTTTGCTGGAGTGAATAGAGGCTTTGCCGCTTATTGTGTCACTGGAGTGATCACCTATTGATCAGAATCTAAATCTGCTCAATTAGACTGGAAATGATTGATTTTTGGTGAGATTTATTGTTTTGGTAGATCATTTAGACTAGATGTTGACAATAACATTTGGGGCTACAGTTCTCAACTTTGCAATATTAACCACCTTATTTCTACAGACTATTGCATATGTTTTCAAAACTGTAACGCGCTCTCGACATTTGTCAAAATAATGCCACTTAATAGTCAAGTGATGGTCTCATGCGACTGCTGTAAATGGAAGATGACTGTAGAGGACGAGAGAGCATTCCTGACGTTTAGAAACTCCCCAGAATTACATTTTGGCAAACAGTATTTTGACGTACAGTAGGATGCTCTTTGATTATGCTTTGTTTGTTAAGATAATTGATTTTTTAATGAATATCACAACGAGAACCCTCCTTTCTTTTTATTTTTCGTCAGTAATGAACTTTCCTTATTTCTGAATTGGATAATCCACGCGTGCATGTATGATATGCTTAAATGCATGCATAGACTAATTAATGCATGGTTAATTTTGCCATAGTGGCTCTTTAATGATTAGCCACATCACAAATGCATCATGCAGTTTTTAGATGTTTTAATTTGTGCTTCAAAAATGAACAATCTTTTTTCAATAAGTAAAGAAATGGCACTACATTCTATCTCCGCACCCATGATTGATTTTCTATGCGTTTGGATTGCTTAAAAGCACATTCCCTTACACGTTTGCTTTATCTTGTAGTTTCCAGGAAGAGCGAGGCATCTTTGACACATCGATGCGTCGAAATCTCTAAAGGTTTGTCTCCTGAGCGAGCACATGTCTTCTACGTGTGTGGGAAAAACTCAGTTTAGCTCTCGTTTGTGAACCGGTGGCTGTTTGCCCCTTATTGTGTGTCGACATGATCTCAGTTTAATCCTCAAGCGCCTCGGCTGTGTTCTCACTGATTGTTGTCATTTACCCAGCTCCCCATCGGGCCCCTTGGAGCCCGCATTGGAACTCGATATCCAATCAGTGATTTAGATTATCCAATTAGGCGAGTGATGTATGTCCAGAGATGCCTTAAAGTGTTGCACCCTCGGATTATCCGGCATCAGCGGAAACCATCAGTGCATTCCAGCTTGCATGTAATTATCCCATTCATTTTTAATGCCGTCATGCAAATATAAACAGAGTGACGTGGCAGTATTTTTGAGCATTCCCATGCATTTACGTTCCCGAATGGTCCCATGAGGTTATTTTTTTTTTTGGGAACCAAACAAGAACGTTATAGGAACGTTCCATGTAGGTTATTTTTAGGTTCCATTTTTATAACGTGAGGAGAATGTTCCGGGAACACTAACGTTCCCAGAACCTAAATTTGTTAGCTGCACTGTAAAAAAAATATTTTCATGATTTGTAATCACAATATTTTTTCTTTTGTTTGATTTGAGATCTTTATTTTGAACATGTAAATAATAAATAAAAATACAGTTATTAATCAATGAAACAAGGAATATTAATTAAAAGAAAGGTAAAAAAAAAAAAAAAATCCAAACTTTCCAATACTTGAAGAAAAAAAAAAACAACCCTCTATTTAAATGTGCAAAAAGGAGTAGGAAAAAGTAAAACTTATCTTTAACCATATTTAAACAAATACCTAAAAAAAAAATAAAAATAAAATAAAAATCTAAATAAGTAATCAATCTATAATCCATGAAAGTATTGATTCAGAAGTTCTATACACATAAGGATGTTTCCTGATACATGACAATATTTATACTACGGGTTAATTCAATATAAGCTCAAGTTAACGCTCTGTTTCTCTGTAACTCTGGAATATAATTTCTTTGAACATCTTTTTAAAACATCTTTTGTCAAATCAATTTAGATCATTTATGTACAGTAGTTCAGAACATAATATTTTGAGTTTCTAAACTTAAAATTTTAAGGCAGCCAGGTTACTTATTTTTTTAAGTTAAACCAACAATATTATTTTACAGTGTGGGATTGACAGTTATATTGATATGCGATATATGTCAGTAGCGTATATATTTTCCATGCAAGCACATACATGATGCAAACTCGCATAAACGAATGTGTTATAGATTCGTCTTGATTTATGTCTCGTGACTGGCTGTCCTCAGACTAAAGGCTCGGACACGCGGCCATCTTTGATAGATCGTGTGGAAGAAGCGACGTGTCACGGACAACATTGATTACCTTTTACTGAGTCTGAGTATAAACCTTAGCGCAGCGGGACGGCGAGGGGTGGGGGGCCTTGATGTATGTTGCCTGAGGGGCGGTAGAGATGACAGATATGGGTTACAAATGAGAGCGGTTTTATGAGTCCTGGAAGGAGGACCATCAGGCCCGTTTAATTGATCTCTCTCTGGCATTGGAGCTCTGCAGTTTTGCACCTGCTTTAGGTGCCTCTGCCGCAGACCTTTGCTTAAATGATCTGCTGTGTTACGGTCCCACACCTGCTCCGAGATCCGGGTTATGCCAAAGGAACGCGACCCCCCGTGTTTCCGGCCTCCGACTGTGGGCTTTTCACCCCGTCGCCCGTGAAACAACGGCTGCTTTCTCACTGTTGTTGTAAAGCAGAGTGGGCGATGTGAATGCGGGGAAGTTTCAGGGCAGAGCATTCAGCTCTGAGAACAGCTTCATCTTTTTGTGAAGTGAAACATATTAAAAACTTCATTGAATCTGCCTACAGTATAGTCAACATGGCTTTTGCATGTATAGTGTTCACTAAAACACAGTAATTCTATTGTAGGGACTTTTTGGCAACCTTAAAAGAAACATATAGACCATTTCGCAAGATGTAAACAACACTGGTCCAGAAGCACTTCCTGTTTCAGGTTTTTAACACTACATAAAAGCTGGGATAAAATACAACCAACAGAACATATAAAACTGAATCAAAAAGTTAAACAAACATCTTTAAGATGTTTTCTTTACATGTGAAATGAAGAAAACAGTTACAAACTGAAACAGGAAGTGTTTCTGGACCAGTGTTGTTTACATCTTGTGAAATGGTCTATAAAGGAGGGGCTTTAAAAGCAAAATTTTATGATTCTGACCAAAATATCACATTTTGCTTTCAAATATATTCAAAGAAACGTCAAGAAACACATTGAATTAAACATAAACTAACTGAATTTGTATTTTATCCATTTCTGGCTGCATTTGCTCTGCTTACAATAAATGGACGTTCAATTGAAACATTACATTCATTTAGCTCTTATTTAAAGGGATTGCTCACTTTGAAATTAATTTTTGGGATGTTTTAGCTTACCTCAAGGGCATCCAAGATGTAGGTGTCTTTGTTTCCGCAGTAGTTTCAATTTTGATATTTTTAGGTCAAACCGTTCGTCTGTCAGTCATATAATGGAGGTCTATGGTCACCACCTCAAAGAGCATGCACAGAGAAGTCCAAATTAAACATGATTTAATGACTCGTAAATGTAAGTACACATTGATGGCCTAAGACACGAAACGAGCGCTTTGTACAAGAGGTAAAATGATATACATACTGTTCGTTTTCTCACACAAACCGCTCGTTTCGTGTCTTAGGCCATCAATGTGTACTTACATTTACGAGTGAAACAAGGTATTTTATGAGAAAACTGTCTGGATTTGATTCACATTGGGAACTGATTGGATTTGGATCATGAAAAGACCTTAATGTTTTGCTAAAACAATGGCTGATTTTCTGTTTGACCATTTATGAACATTATCCAATAACACTGACATCAGCAGACAAGGAAAGTAGCTTTGGATGACGAGCAAGTTATGATGTTTTGCACACAGGAATGTTGATTTGAACAGAGAATTTGCTTTGTTTCAATCCTCACTTTTGATTCATTTCATCCTCAGTCTGTTATCCACAAGGGTTTTACCTTTGAAATAAAGAGCGTATTATTAGAATGAACATGAGTTTGCCTCTGCCATTATTCTCTGGCTGCTATACCTGTGCCTCGGTTGTTGTGGAGCATGCAAACAGCAGTGAAATAAAATGAAAAGCTGTGTGTATTTTTCAGGTTGCAATGATTACATGCAGGTCAAGTGGCTTTTTTAAGTGCATTTTTTGGAGCACCACAACAATAATTCAATAATTACTGTCATTACTCTGTCAGCCTGTATTACTGTTATTCAAAACGGTACCCTTGAGAACGAGTCTTTATTTGAATTTGGACCAAATAAAATGATTGTGGATTGCAACAGAACCCCCCCCCCCCAAAATGCATTGTGCATGC